AATGGACAATGATAACTGGGAAATTCCTAGGGCCCGGTCAATGCCAAGGAGTGATGCACAAGGTATGCAGCTTGAATTTGATGGGCTGTACGACATTCACGGAAATGACACACCAGAGTTTCAAGGCACCTCTACACCTAAGTCTGAAAACAAGTTCCCCGAACAGCAAGTGAGTTTCACCTCCTCACGGATTGCATGAGCTTGGGTCAAGCTCTTCACTACCACTAAGAAGTGGCCGTAAGCTCATGCTAAAAGCTGTGCCTTCAAAAGGTAACCGTAATGAGAGTAGAAGAAATTCTCAAGACTATAGAAGGATACGTTCTCCCTTCAAAGGATTGTTTCAAGTACTTAGGGTCTATGATACATAAAGATGGGGTGTAGATGATGACGTTACACACCGTATAAAGGCGGGATGGCTAAAGTGGAGGGTCGCTACTGGAGTTCTGTGTGACAAGAAGGTGCCTCTAAAACTTAAGGGAAAATTTTATAGAATGACAATAAGACCAGCGCTGTTGTATGGATCAGAATGTTGGGCAACCAAGAAAGATCACGTAAGGAGGATTGAGACCGCAGAAATGAGAATGCTTTGATGGACATGTGGTAGGACTCTGTGGGATATGACGACAAACTCTGCGATTAGGATGTCCTTGGGGGTGGTGTCTGTTTCCGAAAAATTGAGGGAGGGAGGACTACGGTGGTTTGGGCATGTCCTTAGGCGACTACCGTCGGATGCGGTCAGGAGGGTAGAGTCGATTACAGTCGACGGTGCCAGAAGGAAAGGACGACCAAGACGGAAGTGGGAAGACTGCTTGAGATATGATTTGAGGGATTTAGCCCTTACCGAAGACATGACCTCTGATAGGAAAATATGGAGGTTAAAGACTAGGATAATCGAGTAGTGTGGGTCACATTTATAGGGTGTATCATCTCTGTCTTTTTTTAATGTCTTTGTAGTATTTTTCATGACTTCTACTTTTTATACGTTTCTGTTATTGGTATTTATGAAGGATTAGAACTGGGCTTGCTATCGTTGACTTCTGTGTATCATTCTCCTCATGTTTTCTCTTTTAAATTTAGCATGGTCTTATGTTTCTGTTTATATGCAGAGATTCTTTTGCAGGGATTATTATGCAGGGATTAATTCCCGTTACAGACGTACATATGATTTTAATGACTGTATATGAATATTGTTTAGCTATGTATTTATGTATTTATTTATATATGCATTGAATTTTATCTATATTTTTAATTTTCTGACTGCCGGAGGTCTTCCACGGAAGCTACTCTCAACCTGACGTTGGGGGCAGCTTACTACCCTACCTCCCCTTTACCCCATACATATGGGAATTGGGTTTTGTTGTTGTTGTTGTTTAATGGCCCCTTTATAAGGTGAATTTTATGGCCAAATATTGGTTCTTTGCTACATGATTCTGCATACATACTGTCGGTATTTTCGTGTTAAGACTATTTTCTTCTGTGAAATGTATAAAAGTAAAAGCCTTAAAATCAGTTAAGATTTGAATTATAAATGAAAGTTACAATAAAAGCTCTTGACAGAAAGGTTTGTTTATTCTAAAATGGCTTTGCTTGCATTCAAAAGCATAAATTGCGGTTCATAGTTCTGTATCATATTAGGGCATTGCCAACAGACTTGAGCTTAATCAGAAATTCAGTTCAAAAACTGACACATGAATGTGTAACCAACCAAAATTAGGAAAAGGCGAAATTCACAGTCCAGCTCTGCTATAGGAATACCAGTCGACATGCAAATCAATTGAACAAATATTTCAACAGCTAACTACGAGATACAACTCGAAAACCCTTAAGGAATGGTTCGCTGATACAGAGGCAAAGCTCCCAAAGCTTCACGCTCTGCATTCTCCTTCTTCACCTACAAGATTCAATTAAAAAATTCTTAATACATATACTCCAACTCCATCCATTTATTTCACATCGACTTTCAGCCTTTGCTTCAGTCAAAACACACAGCTTAAAATTCTAACACTACACCATAAACGAAGTGAAAAACAAACAGAAACTTTGCCAGCAAACATGACGCTGAACAATATGATGTGTATGTGCAAAAGATAGAATTTTGCAAAGCAAAGTAGAATTTAATAACCAAGAATCTAGCAGTTTGACATGGCATCATCAAGGTGTTGCACCTTGGCACCAGACAACAAAAGCACGATAGACCCTTTTGAACGAAGTGCTTTGATCAGGCACATGGTTTGTGCTCTTAGGTGCGCTTTTTTGAAACTGTTCAAAATAAAATTCAAGTCAATTTATCAACATAACTTCTACTGTACAAGAACTTACAAGAGCAAGCATATCTTGAAGATAGCTCCTAAATGGCGTCTGCATTTTCTGCAAAGGAATGATAAGATCCAATGAACTATAATTAATCTCAAAGCACAGTAATGAAGCAAAGATGCATGTTCAATAAAAAATGAAAAGGGTGGCAAACATGCATGGATAATTATAAACATAAAGATATCTACTAATGTTGACAAAAATAATTATATCATATCTTAATCATATTGATAAAGATTATAAAATATTAGTTCCTCATCCCCGTATAATATTTTTCAATCCTTAGACAAGGATTGAGCGTTTTATGTCAACATAGTTTTGTTCGGTGTTGCAACTTCCATTCTAATGGTATTTACCTATAGTTTTAGGAAGCAAAAAAACAACTAATAATAGAACCATATTATAACATAGAAATCAGGATAATTATTCTATCTTTCTTTGAAAGACTATATTCATATGTACTCTATCAAGTCCCCCCCCCCCCAAAATAATAATAATGACATACAGATTTAAAGGTAATTGGATTTATAATAGGATTCATATTAGGTTTCTGACATTTAAAAGCTAATCCTTATTCACAATTACACAAAAAGAAAATCAATCCTCCAAAATTAAATACTCAAATAAGATTCTCCAAAATCTACTAAAAAAAAAGAGAGAGAGAGAAACCTGAAGATCTTCAGGGAGATACTCGTGCTTCATGGAGAGGTCAATTGCACGCTTAAGGCGTTGGTTACGGGCATCGACGACCTCACGAGGCAGCCTGTTCAATGCCTCCTTGATATCCAAATCGTAGTAAGGATCGTACAGATCGTCGTAACGAAGGCCTGAACAAATTATCCAATAAATTTAATTGAAATTTAGGGGGAAAGTTTAGAGTTAAGATTTTGAGGAAAATCGTTACCGTATTTGCTGAGACGGCTGGTAAGGGTTTTCATATGCAGAGATGCCAACCAGCTCTTCTTCGGATCCAAAAGTGACTGCAAAAGCGACGACATTTGGCTGCGCTTTCTCTTCCTCTCTATCTCAGCTGAATCCCGAGCCTTTGTATGCAGATCAAGGGTTTGTTACAGTTTTGTGCAATATATCGACCAAGTTACTACACTCACGATATATATGGCATTATCTCACGAGATATTAAATAGTATTATTGTTAAGGAAAAATACAATAATGGTCACTAATATTTAAGTAAGTTTTCATTTATATTAATTAAGTTTAAAAAGTAATATATTAGTCACTAATATTATCGATTTATAACAAATTGATCACTCTACCAGTATCTCTATTAAATTAATGATGTGGTACAATTAATAAAAAGGTTAACATTTATGTTTACCCTTAAACTATTACTAAAACATCAAATATGTCTTTAAACAATGATTTTATATCTAATCTATCCCAAAAGCTTTTTAACTTCTTTTTTCAAACATTGCATCATTTCAATTATATTCTAACTAATTTCCTTACAAAACAAAAATCACACTTGAACAAAATTTCGTTTGTCTTTAAATATTCTAACCACTTTCCTTACAAAACAAAAATCATCCCAAAAGTATTATTTTTTTCATTAAAATTAATTGGATATATGACTTTAAATACTCATGTATATTTTATAATGAAAAGACTCCATTTATCAATACAATTTGGTTTTTTTTTTTGTAAGAATGTGGTTCGAATATAGTTATAGTGTTGGGGTGTTTGAAAAAAACTATAAATTAGAAATTTTTGGGATAAATTAAATATAAAATTATTGTTTAAGGAATTGTTTGATGTTTTAGCTATAGCTTAGGGATAAAACTAAATATTAATCTTTTTATCAACATTATCATGTCTTCAATTTAATAGAGATAACGAATAAGTGACCATTTTGTTATAAATCAATAACGCTAGTGACCATTTTGTTACAAATTGATAATGTTAGTAACTAATTTATTACTTTTGAAACTTTAGTGGGAAAAATAAAAACTTACTCAAACATTAGTGATCATTGGTGTGGTTTACCCTCTTTTTATTAATAGTGATTAAAATAAGATAATATTTATTCAAAAAAAATTCAACCATTTAATTATTTAAAAATTTGTAATATAATTGATTTAATAAAAAATAAATTGATATAAATTTTTCTCTCGTGAAGTAATCAATCCATCAACAAATTTATTTTAACTAATAATGATTTAATTAATTACTTTTACGGGGTAAATAAGAGGGGTATGATATAATTAGGTATAAACATAAGACTCGAATCCAATAGGTTCTGACCTAATTCGATTGGATTGGAATTTTTAAAATTATATTGATTTTAGTTTGGGTTGGGCTGGGTTTAAATTTAGGGTAAAAAATATTCGATCTAAAAAAATATAATTTTACATTATATATTTAAAAATAATTATAATAGTATTTTTTTATATATTATTTTTTAATTATATCTCTATTTTTTATTAAATAAAAATATTATTATTTTAATAAATATATTATTTCAAGATCAAATCGAATTTAAATTTTATCTAAGATTAAATTTAGATATAATGCATATGTAGCTCACTGTTTCTTTGTGTACTTCTCGTTCTCGATCCAAAGGTACATATTCTTGCTATCCTATCGGACGGTCAGGATTTTCGCTATTTTTCCTTTGGGTGTAACCTAATAATAACCTACGATCTCATTTCAGTTGTAGCGGGAGTGTAGAGCAATCTTGAGTCGACCGACCCAGATGAGAGGAACCATCGGCAGGACCCTGTACGATCAATACCTTGCATCTCTTACCAAACGAACCTCTTTTCTCCTCCAATCCTCCCCCTTCTCCGCTTCCTCAAGATCTGGCGACGGCCGTGGCCTTGCTGGGGGAAACTCTCCTTTTGATGGATTCACTCCAGCCACCGCAAAATCCGAATCAGAGGAGAAAAGGTCCGACTCAAATGAATCGGCTTTCGTCGGATTAGGTCACGGCCGTGGAAGAGGAACTCCCTTATCCTCCGAATCCAAACTCCCCCCTTTCTCTTCTCATTTTTCCCAATACGCGTCCGGTCGAGGCCGAGGTACCAATGAGCCAGTGCCGCCTCCAAGGCAACCGAAAGTGCCGATATTTGTAAAGAAATAGGATGAAATCGAAGTTGATTCCCCGGCGAAGCCGGCCACCGATTCGGTTCAGTCGATGGAGCCAACACTTCCATCTAGTATGCCCTTAGTCGCATCATTATCGGGTGCTGGACGAGGCAAGCCCTTGAAGCAACCGGAGTCTGCCTTGCAGATGAAGGAAGAAAATAGGCATATCCGAGCGAAGCAGGAGCAGCAACGGCAGCAACCGCCTCCATTGCCGCAGATGAGCAAGGAAGAAGCAGTAAAGAAAGCAAGGGAGATTCTTTCAAGGAGAAGCGAGGGCGATATAAGGGAGGATATGGGTTTGAGTGGAGGTAGAGGAAGAGGAAGAGGTAGGCAGTCGGACAGGGGTAGGGGAAGGGGAAGAGGGCGCGGAGGATACTCAAGGAAATTGGAAGAAGATGCTAAAGAGCTTGAAGATGATCTTTATTTAGGAGATGATGCGAATGGAGAGAAATTGGCCCAAACCATTGGAGCCGAAAATATGGCTAAGTTGGTTGAAGGGTTTGAAGAGCTTTCCAGTAGAGTCATGCCTTCTCCTCTGGACGATGCTTACATGGAAGCGATGCATACCAACTTTATGGTGAGTTGTTCACCTTTTGAAATTTTGTGCAAGGATGATTATTATTACTTCAGTTCACTATAATTAGAAATTAAATTGTGTTATTTTCTTTGTATGCTATCAGCTAAATGGGAATTGGCCTGGTGATTTGTTTTTAGCATAGAAAAAGTATAAATGAAAACTTGGGTTGGAGCAAACTGTTCTAACTGTCAATAAACACCATTACGTTGAACAAGAACATAAATTGGTTCTAGGGGTGACAATTACAATAATAGGTTTTAATCTGAAAGACGTGCCTCAGTGAATGGTGTATTTTAAATCTGCAAGGCTGGTAAGTGGTAATACTAGTAATTGGTTGGTGTAAAATTATATTCACATTGCAGTCCTTGCATCCTCTGGTTAGGCTGGCATAATTTAATGTGTTTTTGCTGATTTTTTATGATTCATTTGTGCTAACAATTTGGTCTAGTGAGCCATCTGAATATCTGATTTCTTGTTGGTAGTAATCACTGTTTATAAAGGCTTATGTAAAACATTGCTAACAAATAGGTTTATGTTGTTGTGGTGGTGGATAAAACTGATAATGCACTTGTAAAAGAACACGTGAAACAATATTGAACTAATTCAACCATTTCCTTAATTAATTTTACATTGCAGCCTCGACTGTATTGCCAGACTATGATTTATTGGGGTTAATCTGGATCTTAAACCATTTATCTACTTGTTTGGCTTGCAGATAGAGTTTGAGCCTGAATATTTGATGGCAGATTTTGAGACTAACCCAGATATTGATGAGAAACCACCCGTGTCTCTTAGAGATGCCCTTAAGAAGGTGAAACCTTTCCTCATGTCATATGAAGGAATTCAAAATCAAGAAGAGTGGGAGGTATGTTCTATTGCTTTGATCATGGTTCATGGTTGTTTTTCTCATTGCTTTGGATGTATTTCTTCCGTATGAATGACATGGAGAACTAAAAATATTTATTCTTACTGATAGTAAGATTCTTATTCAAATTTTTAGAGGACATCCTGCTTCAAGTTAATCCTATAGTTGAACTTGGACAAGGCTGAAGTTACATTAATGGAGACAAAATCCATTTAGTTTCTAATCCACAAAATCACCATAAGGAATTAAGGTCATGGAGAAATTGTTTTAGCACACAAAATTTTTCATAAATAAATTGAATAGTTAACCTGTGAAATCCACATTATTTTGTGGTGATAACATTTTCTGAAAAAGGCCCCTAATTTGTTTTCTTGATAGTCTTTTTTAGATGACTTCTTCATGAATAGCTTTATACTATGTTTTCCACATTCTAACTTTTCAGGAAGCCATCAAAGAAACAATGGAAAATGTACCTTTACTGCAAGAGATCATTGATCACTACAGTGGACCTGATAGAGTAACTGCAAAGAAACAGCAAGAAGAGTTGGAAAGAGTTGCAAAAACTCTTCCCAAAAGTGCACCTGCTTCTGTGAAGAACTTTGCAAACCGTGTGGTTCTCTCTCTTCAGGTTACTATTTATAATTTACTAATTTTTTCTTTCATGCACAATTTGCGTTTGAGGATGATGCTTTCTGGTGATGTACAATTGTGAGATATCGGTTTCTGAACTTTAGCTTCCTTGCATTCTTTTTGGACTTGTATAATAGATTTGACACATTATGAGACAACATGTCTGCCATGGATATGTCCTGGCACTTCAAGAAGGCTAATGGGACTAACAGGCACAGTTTTTATGGTTGAGCTTTTGTTACTAGAACAGAAGTCGCATTAAAGAAACTATATGGTGGAAATTATGTTGGTATATTCGTGTTGTATTTGTTTTGTGTCTAAAATTGCCAGATCCATCTTGGACTAGTCTAATTTCTGGTTACTATATGGTGGTAATTATGTTGGTATATTCGTGTTCTATTTGTTTTGTGTCTAAAATTGCCAAATCCATCTTGGACTAGTCTAATTTCTGGTTACTATATTGGGCGAATCTTATAAAGCAGAGTAACCCTGGTTGGGGATTCGACAAAAAATGCCAATTCATGGACAAGCTTGTGTGGGAGGTCTCTCAACAATACAAATGAAGGTAGATGGCTTGGTTTATTTAATCGAGATGATACCAAGCAGTTATGGCCTCATGATGCTTCTGATTCCATTCACCAAATCCTTTTTCTTTTGGGAGGGAGGCGACTGGGGGATATATGAACATAGTTTCGGTGAAAAGAGATTTTTTTTTTGCTTATGTATTTGATTCCTTTAGAGGAGGAACATCTGCAATAGATTTATACGCTAGTTAATTTTTCAGTAACGGTGAATAAGCATTACTTGGAGAGGCCGAAGTACTGAAGTTTGTTGTGTTTTACTAGGAATGTTCAAAAGTATTTTTGCTACCTGTGTTGTGTGATGCATTGTATCCAGCCCAGATATGTTATGCTACGATTCAGATTCAATTCCAATCCATTTTGACCCCAAACCTTGTATCTTTAATCTGAGATATAAGAATGAGCTGATATTGATACTATTGAAGTCAAAGTTGAATGATTAGATGAATATTCCGTATTGACTGATAGACCAAAATTTGTGTGATTTTGGGACTAATATTTTTTTACAAATATAATGAAATAAAAATGACAACTAAAATATGAATTAAGTGTATAAATTAAATTATTTTAGTAGTTAAAGGAATGATTATTATTTTTAAAGGTTTTAAGTTTGAGTATCAACAATATAATATGGATAATTGGACGTTTATTACTAAATAATTAAGAGTATTTGATGTTTATTACTAAATAATTAAGAATATTTAAAATATATTATTTTAAATCATCTTAGTTTAATCACAACTAAGTTGGAGTGGGACTGGCCTAACTCAACTAGAAGCTTTCTTCTCACCATTGCTACACTTTTTGGCTCCAGAATTCTCTCCACCACTCTCCAAGTTGTCTCATCAACTGTTGTTAAAAAGTTAATAATAAAGATCAATCACTATCACCGTTAACAAAAATATATTTTATATTATCATTTTGATAATCTTATATATGCATATCTTTGAGATTTACCACCAAAAGAGAGGATTCTGCCTTTCCACCAGTTTAACCTAGACTGGATCTTTTCCACGATCGGTTTCCACAAAACTTTTCGTTTGATTCTCTGCTGGTTTGCAATCTTACTTTCTTTTGATTTGAATATCTTAATGTTTTCCTGTTATTTTCATCTTGTTTTATGGTATTCTTTATTTCTGCTTTTTACATAATTATTTTTCACTTTAATAATAAAGATCAATCACTATCACCGTTAACAAAAATATATTTTATATTATCATTTTGATAATCTTATATATGCATATCTTTGAGATTTACCACCAAAAGAGAGGATTCTGCCTTTCCACCAGTTTAACCTAGACTGGATCTTTTCCACGATCGGTTTCCACAAAACTTTTCGTTTGATTCTCTGCTGGTTTGCAATCTTACTTTCTTTTGATTTGAATATCTTAATGTTTTCCTGTTATTTTCATCTTGTTTTATGGTATTCTTTATTTCTGCTTTTTACATAATTATTTTTCACTTTGATACTTTTTACTTTGCTTTCTTACTCTGGTTTCACCAGATCTACATTGCTCTGCACTTAGGTAAGACTTTACAAGATTCTTTATTTCTTCCGCTATTTCTTTTGCTTTGTTCTTTTATTCCTTTGGATTTTCCTCTATTTTTAACTCTTCTCGCCGTTAGATCTGAGTAAAAACACCTCAGTTTTAGTTGAAGAACATGCGTTGTGATCTAGATCTAAGCACGATCTTTTCTATTTGAATAATTCTTATACCTAAGCTTATCTGCATGATTTTGGTTCTTTGTAAGTGATTTTATTGGAAAACTGGGTTTTTATTTTATTTTTTGAAATTTTGGCGTAACTATGTTTTGGGTTTGGTTGCATTGTTATCTGTTTGGTAGCTAAGAAAAAGTGAAGGAAGTGGGAACGAAAAAAGAGCTCCCATATTTTGTTTTAATTTTTTATTCAATTCGGTTTTAAAGAATTGAAAGAGACACCTTACTTGAGCGTCGGTTACTGTGAGTGTGCATCTTCTGTCTTCTTTTGATTCCTTTTTTATAGTTCCTCATAGCTTCGGCTGTAGATGATTACTTGAGGTCATGTTCTTTTAGATCCCATAGGGCGTATAGGGGGAGGGCTCGACAGAGTGGTGTCAAGGAGACTAGACTTAGAGTTTGTTCGTTGAATGTAGGCACATTAAATGCTAGGTTGTTGGAGCTGACCGACATACTTAGTAATAGGAAAATAGATTTTGCTTGTATTCAAGAGACTATGTAGAAAAGGGCTCGCGCCAGAGAGTGTAATGGGTACAAGTTGTAGTATTCAGGTGTAGATAATGCTAGAAATGGGGTGGGTATCTTGGTATCCTCTAGGCTTAAGAAAAATGTAGTTGAAGTTTGTAGATATCGGGATAGGATCATGATGATTAAGATTATTATATAAGCGGAAGTGGTGAATGTCCTTTCAGTGTACGCTCCACACGTTGGCCTAGGGGAAGGGGAGAAACGTTTCTTCTGGAATAAGTTAGATGATGTACTTAGGAGCATTCCGGAGGACCAAAGAGTTTTCATAGGGGGAGACTTCAATGGCCATATAGGTAGTGCAACCGACGAGTATGACAGTGTTCATGGGGGTTTCGATTTTGGTAGTAGGAATGAGGAGGGGCATACGTTGCTTGAATTTGCTAATGCACATGATATGGTGGTCACTAATTCATTCTTTAACAAGAGAGATGTGAACTTGATTACGTTCCATAGCGGGGGACATTGTACCCAAATCGACTACATCCTGGTTCGAAATCGGGATCGATGGGCTTGCATTGACTGTAAGGTGTTCCCAGAAGAGTCATGTGCATCACAACACAGATTGTTGGTTTTGGTGTTCCGTGTATACCGTAGGCGGATCACTCATAGGAGGGCTAAACTTGGTAAACCTAGGATCCTTTGGAAGAACTTACATGGAGCGATAGCTGATGACTTTAGGAGTAAGGTTTTCTCTAATATTTTTGGAACTACAAACTCAAATAATACATATATGTTATGGAAAAATATGGAAAATACCCTCAGAGAGGTGGGCAAAAACACCATTGGGTTGTCTTCATGGAAGGTCAAGGAACATAAAGAATCATGGTGGTGGAACGACGAAGTCCAAACTAAGGTGAAGACAAAGCAAACTTGCTTCAAGGAGTTTCTACAATGCAATGACGACGAAGAAAGATCGAGAGCTAAACAAAGATACAAGGAGGCAAAGCGGGAAGCCAAGAAAACAGTGGCTTAAGCAAAGGATAAGGCATACGAGGAAATGTACAAGAGATTAGACACCAAGGAAGGACAAAACGGCATCTTCAGGCTTGCAAAATCCAGGGAAAATAAGAAAAAAGATCTAGGTAGCGTTAGGTTTATTAAGGACAACAATAGTGTTTTTTTAGTGAAAGATCATGATATTAAGAGGGTTTGGGGTAGTTACTTCTTTGGCTTATTCAATGACGGTGCCTCTCTCTGTAGAGATAGTATCGTTGATGGGTCATCCGACCATCATACTACAGCAAATGACTGCCCCACAAGTAGGATTGGGTTTTAGGAAGTCAAAATGGCTCTGAGAAAGATGGGGAGGGACAAAGTTTTCGGTCCATATCAAATTTCAATCACTGTGTGGTTGGCCCTAGGAGAAGAGGGAGTTAAGTGGTTGACCAATATCTTTAGTATTATTTTAGAGACTGCCAAGATGCCAGAGGAGTGGAGAGAGTCTACGGTGATATCAATCTATAAGAATAAAGGAGATCCTCAACGTTGTGGCAACTACAGAGGTATTAAACTACTCAGTCATACCATGAAGCTATGGGAAAGGGTGATAGAGGCTAGGTTGAGACATGTTACTAGGGTTTCGGAAAACCAATTTGGCTTTATGTCAGACAGATTTACTACAAAGGCAATTCATCTACTTCGACGGCTTATGAAGAAATATAGGGAAAAAATAGAGATATTCACATGTCGTTCATTGACCTTGAGAAGGCGTATGATAGCGTTCCCCGCGATACGATCTGGAAGACTTTGAAACGAGACGGATCCCAACTACTTATATCCGGGCGATCCGTGATATGTACTGTAGATCTACTACATACGTCAGACTACAGTTGGCGACACCGAGGCATTCCCGGTGGAAATCAGACTCCACCATGGGTCGGCTCTTAGCCCTTACATCTTCGCCTTGATTATGGACGACATCTATTGTGCGACACCAGACGGTGTTCCATGGTGTATGCTTTTCGCTGACGACATTGTCCTAGTTGCTTAAACAAAAACTGAGCTGAATAGTAGACTTGCTACCTGGAAGATTGCTTTGGAAGAAAAAGGTCTAAGGATCAATATTGAAAAGACAGAGTATTTATGTTCAAACTTCAGTGGGAACCAAAACGATGAAGATGTAGAGGTATGCATAGAATGACATGTTCTCCCCTCAAAGGATTGCTTCAAGTACCTAGGGTCTATGATATAAAAAGATGGGGGTGTAGATGATGATGTTATACACCGTATAAAGGCGAGATGGCTAAAGTGGAGGGCTGCTACTGGAGTTTTGTGTGACACGAAGGTGCCTCTAAAACTTAAGGGAAAATTTTATAGAATTGCAATAAGACCAGCGCTATTGTACGGATCAGAATGTTGGGCAATCAAGAAGTATCACGTAAGGAGGATGGAGGTAACAGAAATGAGAATGCTTTGATGGGCATGTGGTAGGACTCTGTGGGACATGACACCAAACTCTGCTATTAGGATGTCCTTGGGGGTGGTGCTTGTATCCTAAAAATTGAGGGAGGGAAGACTATGATGGTTTGGGCATGTCCTTAGGCGACAACCGTCGGATGCGGTCAGGATGGTAGAGTCGATTACAGTCGACGGTGCCAGAAGGAGAGGACGACCAAGGTGGAAGTGGGAAGACTGCTTGAGATCTGATTTGAAGGATTTAACCCTTACCGAGGACATGACCTCTGATAGGAAAGTATAGAGACTTACGACCAGGGTAGCCGAGTAGTGCGAGTCACATCCATACGGTGTAACATCTCTATCTTCTTTTTAATGTCTTTGTAGTAATTTTCATGACTTCTACTTTTTATACGTTTATGTCATTAGAATTTATGAAGGCTTAGAACTAGGGTAGCGGAGTAATGTTGCCTTAGTTTAGGTTATAACCCATTTGACTTTATTCCTTCTCGTAGTTTGCTATCGTTGACTTCTGTGTATCATTCTCTTCAGGTTTCCTCTTTTTAAATTTAGTC